CAAGGCAAGGCAGATGATCCAACTGTTGGACAGGGACAAACAATTACGGGACAGCCCCGTTAAACTACACTTGCTGCTTGAGATTGGAAAAGATCGGGGACAAATAAAGGATATGATCCAAGGCAGATGATCCAACTGTTGGACAGAGACAAACAATTACGGGACAGCCCCGTTAAACTACACTTGCTGCTTGAGATTGGGTTGGAAAAGATCGCATGCATAGCTGGAAGCACCGCACGGTGGACAAATAGCGTGGCCGAATTCTAAGACAACCACGCATGTGGTCGTTGAAAATGGGCCAGCAGGTGAAGTAAATGAACACCATTTTATTCATTTGCAACATAAATGCCCATAAAAGGGAATTCAAGTTCTAAAAATCATTCTACTCTATAGTGGGATTAATAGACGACTTGCTGTCATCAAGTCGTCAACAGAAGCAACCTGAAAACGAAAGTCCGATTGGACTCGGCAGGAAGTGTTACGGATGATGTATCTACACATGATGAGGCGTGGGTAAATGGATAAAAGAAAGCCCAGTCGGTCCGACAGACTTATTAGGTAATGAAATGCAATTCAGACAGAAATTTATTTTTTTAATGTTCCAGTTAACGAAAGCATTCTCAAAATAAAAGCCAAATAAAACAACAAGTCCGCCTAGTTCAGAGAAGACATCCGGAAGATGTCTAGACAAAACACGTGGGAGACGGTCAACTTTTATCGCGAAAACAAAGTTTGATCGAAAACTCGGTGTTCAGTTGCTGAACCCTACTGACTTTCCCGTGAGTCAATATCAAAGTGGAGGTGAACATCAGCGGTTTGGAAACAGCCTCCTAGAGAGTTAAGTTTACAGTACACAAATCAGAAGTTCAAACACTGTTTTCGTGAACTTAATTACGACCAGTTGGCAAACTAAAGACTGCAATTGGCGCAAATTATTGTTGAAAACTGAATCAACATTCTGAAACCGTTTCTCTTTCATTTGCAAATCAACAGCACCACGCTGACGGCTCTACACGTCGATTCGAACCCGCAAACCTTCCGGCAGGCGATGGAACACTGCCGTCCAGCTGCAGCTTCACGATAAACCGCATAATTACCTTTCATTCGGACAGCAGGAGATAAGGTTGACAGATATTCGATGATTACGCCTACTTGATGAGCCCCAAGAGGGATGAAACCGGTCCAGGGGTGTCGGAGAGTTTGCAGCAACCTTGTGAGTAGCTTCATTCGCGGAAATATACTGCGATTTCTCAAACATCGTACTAAATGAATCATAAGGCGGCCCTTCTACAGAACAATCAGTTGAAGATCATGAGAGATTCAGCTGGATTTCGTTGAGTCTCCCGTTAAAACCCAACTAGCGTGTCAATGAGTGCAGTTCACAAATTTTCCACAACTCGGTTTCAAGTAGAACATAAGGAGGACGGAAACTCGGGACCGCATCTAGCTGATGAGCCCGATCGTGGGCTGTCGAAGTTCCCCGTAACCTTTTGAACAGTGCTTCTTCAAGAAGAAACAACTTTATCTCATTCTCTGTAACCTCGGAGTAGTTAAGTGGGTCCGAATTCCGAATATGTAGCTTCGGTGACAACTCGAAAAGCCTCCACGAACCCGTATATCGCTGTTCACATTTGCGAATCAAAGGTCAGGAATCGTCAAATAATGAAAAGCCAATATCTTCCCAGAACCTTGTGGGTAACTCAAAAACTCAGATTTCAGTACCATGTCACGGCAAGCTGCAAGAAGTGTCAGTAGTTCTCACGAATCCCGTCCACACTCCTCTCCCACAACGCAGCAAGATGTTACATGTTCGCCTGGCTGTCACCTATCTGGGCGTTGACCCACTAAACTCAAGACATGATGTTTTATTAAATCCAAGAGAACCACTCTAAATTTAGTCTTCCGAAGTGTCCGGGCATCACGTTCTATCTCCGAAACACATAAAGGGAACCAGGTGGATTGGACCTAAATTTTTCTCCTTTTACTTTCACGGTATGCGGTGACAAAAACGTGGTGACCCGTTTTACATACGACGCGGAACCGCACCGAATACCATAATAGCAGGTGCCCTTGATTTTATTGTTTTATTCCTTACGCAGTTGTTTGTGCAACCTGATCCCAATTGACAAGCTAAATGTTTATGTAGTATGAGCATATGAACCAAGAGGCTACGGACACAGGTATGTGGTTATTCTTCCAGCCAGATTGTTTATTCTTATGCAGGCGCATTTCGCTGGTGATTTTGGAATTGGAACTGACCCTACAGATATAGGCGAGCGCTGACCCTGCGTATCCTGGTTTGGTACAAAGTTTCGACAAAAATTATCCCGCTCTTTCAATGCAACAGTGATACTCCCTCCAAGGTGCACACCTCGATTAGGATTGAATAGGATCCGGTTCGGAACTCATGCATACAAACATGTCAATCGACGCCATCGGAAAGTCCAGTTGCTAGGTAGTGGTGTAAGTTTCGTTGGATGAGAAATTGCTTGTCGAGGAAAGAAAATCCGTAGTCTTTGCCTATGCGACACTAACGTGACATAAGTAATGGTGGACTACATAAAGTGACCTTTGGGAGAACCGAATGCACCACGACAAACGATGGGCCAGGCGCGCTCCCCATGTGCTCAACATCTCAGAAAAGCGTCCACACCGTAGAACCATTCACTTGGTATTGAGCAGATATGCTCTAAAGGTCATGGTATCATACATCATGAAATGAATCACGAATAAGCTCCCGGGCAGACATAAGGAGAGTATACACGAGCGATTGAAACCATTACTCGGTGCGTAACGAATGCCGTCTCTTCTTCACCCATCCCAAAAGTGGAATTCACAGTGACGCCATAGCCAAAACCTTCGTACTAATTCCTTCGAGCTATCATTTTAATTTGGTGGTGGACAGCCTTCTACCTATACCGCTATTACAGGTAAAGGTAATTGTGACAGCCTGAACGTTCGAGCGCAGTTATGGCTAGACACCCGAACAAACGGATCTTGACTGGCTGCACCGTGATGAATTAGGTCTCATCTCAACCGCCAATAAGAAAACATTTCAAGGTTTTACACATATAGAACTGTGACAAAGTGGAATAAGAAATAACCGTGAAAACGAGGTAGAATGGGAAAAAGAACAACGAAAAGCAGAACTGGCATTGTTCCCTCCAACAGCATAAGCGAAATATGAACGTACTTTGAGTGTTTTTACCGCAACTAGGATGTTATACGGTTTCCACAACGCCTCGTACACAATTCCATATTGACCGGACCCTGAAAAGCAAACAAAGTCGGAAACAGAAGACGCATGAAAACTAGCACGGAATACGTTACATTCCCCCGCAGATTGCCTGTCAATACGCATGGCAACCGACATGGCTTATTAAGATAAGTTGAAGTAGAAAACACCGGCAGAAATGCACATAAATAAGGAGTTAAGTTGGCATGTAATCAACTCGTTCGGGTCAATCGTACGCACATTCACCTCGCGGGTCCCAATGGCCGACAAACATCCAGATTAGTGTTTATAGTTAGGTAGATAGTGTGTGGCTGCCTGTAAAACCAATCGATAGTCTAGGTGCGCGGCCTGGAAATCAAATCAAGTTCCAAAGGCTATGTCAGACGGCAGTAAGAAGCCAAGCAGTTAAAGATGGCCCCGTTTGCGGCATCCATTGAGAAATTTGGACCAGATCACTTCAGTGCAGTAGTACAAAAGACTAAGCCAATGTTTAGAATTCTGACAAAGACTTACAGTCGTAAATCGAGAGTGTGTACTCTTTTTTGGTGTAAATACACACCAACCACGGATAACTCGTCTGATCATCTCCGGAGAAGAGGTAACGTGGTTCGGAATAATTAGTGTAAGGAAAAATGAATAGAACGAAAGAGCTGAGTGTCTTAAATGGAATGCTGGAAGAATAGAAAGGGAAGGTGCCTAGGACCGAGCACTACTGATGAGAGTTGTATCAGAGGTAATAGGGAAATTCGTAAAATTGGCTAGATGAAAAAAAGGCACGCTGAATGATCCGACCGTCGCTAGAGGGAGAGGACTGAGGGGCTGCTTGGAAATTACAGACAACCGCACAGCAATGGAAGGCCGATATTCTGGATACGGATTTTGGACAAAAAAAAGTATACAAACAATTCTGCGCCTCATAATGCTGAATTAGTCTACAGTTTGCACAAGAGATGCCTCAGAGAGAGAATATCAACAAAACCGATAAACGAATGCTTCAATGGAAAAGAACGTACGGAACGCTAAGGCAAGAGAACGTTGTCGTCGAAGTCCTCACTATCATCGACACCACCATCAACCTCAACAGTAGCCCATCATCAATCGCTGCTGGACATACAGTCCTACTTTTGCTAACCGAACTACAGAAAGCCGACCAACACATATCGATGCATCCTTGACTAACCATCAGAAATGGAAGCGTGCCCACACCGAAATGAATAGACAGACGACGGCGAAACTGAAACGTGCACTGAATCTGAACCACAGGAAGACACACCCTTTACTAGGTGTCAAGTTTTGAGACAACCAAAGATTAATCAGACAAGAGGATCCGTCGAGTATTCAGTGGAAAAACATACAGTCTTAAGGATTCACGATGTGCGAGACAAGTAGAGTCCCAACTGATAAGTGAAGAAGTGTCCAAATTTAAGGCAATACAATACGCATAGGGACGATCGAGGGTATACAGATCTCTCGAGAGCACAGAGCAAAAACCAATCAATTCGTCAAACGTCATGTGATTTATCCAAACTTGTTTACTTCCATCGAGCACCACTGGTTTGTTCGCACTCTTTATAAGGTAATTGCCAGGAAGACAAACCACTAAGTTCACTACAATCAATTCCACCCCCAGCTAGTCTATTTGAACAACCCAACGGCCAATACGAGGAACCAAACGAAAGCTTCCGTCCAGTACTCAGAGTACAGAAGAGAAAAGGCATAAGCTGACAGATTGTGCAAGAAATCACTATAAACTTATATGAGTTTAAAGGGACTGGAGAGCGCCTGATCAGACAAAATTAACAACTGCTCAATTTCATAGCAAGTGTCAAGGACCCAGCAATGGTTGTTACGAGATAGAGGTGATGGGTGAACAGGCGTTTCACGAAGGAGCACAGCTTAAATGAAGGACGAAACTAACTGGGCGACGATCGTACATGGTATAAAACACGTAACTAATGGCTTGAGGATCCATTCGGGACAGTAATAGTCTACCTATAGTAATATTTCCACTTATACAAAGTATGTCGTTCGGGGAAATAAACAGTTCATTTTCATCAAAAAAATCAATGGGTATTGCCATTTTTCTCGGATAACGAGCGTCGAAAAAATATGTAGGATGCGACTGCACTCAAGTACTTAGGAATATTATCATGAAATGTAAGATAGTAGTCGTTTTCCGACTGTCGCAGGTGAAATTAGATAATTAGTCTACAAAGTTTCGGCGCCTCCAACTCCGGACATTCCAAGACGCCTTTTGGCTGAGAATTACTTGTGGGAAAACGATCAGTATGAAATACAATGCATGCTTTTTCACTGAGGCGATAAAATTCATTTGGTATCCGGGTGTGTTTTGACAGCTTTCGTCTAGGAATAATGCGCCACGGTTGCACATCTGTAAATACTAAATACAGATGCAATAAGGCGCCCCTCCACAGCCTTTCGGGAGACCAAAAGGTGTTTTCTCTTCAATTGCTGGGACTGTTTTTCTTTATGAGTTACAGTACAAGGACGTCTCGCTAATAAAGGTGTCCTGCTGGAGATGAGTATGCACCAGTGATTATGCCCTTTTCCCTTGTTGTTACGGGAAATAAATCCTCATTTCTGACGCTGTACGTGTCAAAGTTTATTTCCAGGTTAGACGTCCAATTCAAGAGGTGAAACAACAATCTGGTCTACTGTCACGCGATGTCCTGAAGAGTGTGAAACCACATGTTTTGAACACTTCCTAACTATGTACTACATCCAATTACCCAGTATATATAAATACCGTCAGTGAAGCTTAACATCTAGCGGAGCAATCCTAATCGGAGGGTAACAAACCACCTAACATCTAAAAGTCGAGTCTGTGGCGACAGCTTCCGGAGTCAAGCGTTACTTACGGTCTTGGTGCAAGAGTCTGAACTGAAGGAATGAAATACAGTTCTTAGCACACCGTAGGAGTCACTTTGTCTAGCAAAGCAACTGTCGCAAGTTGCAAACAGTGAAATGCTCCATGTTTATACAAGTAGATGGGTTGAACACAAACGGACCCCGTGATTAGACTAAGTGTTAATGAACAAACTAACCTTTCATGACAGGAAGCATGATTTTGCTGTATATTGCTTCAACAAATCATGACAGTTTTTGCCTTTTTTAGCGTTCGTTCATGTCAATCTTATGCGACGGGAGACTCTTGTTTATGGTACTCCTCGACCAAGACTAAATCAAATTACAAATGTGTGTATTTCACCATAAAAGGATCTTATTAGGTGGGTGTATGATTTTATCCCGATAACCCGTAAGCCCTGGTATTATGTGAACCTCGAAAGGGCAAATAATATCATGCCTGTGGTGAATGCTCTCATTGCACTTTGAAGACGCTAACCAATTCACACGCCGATCCTCCCTTAGCTCAACAGGTGCCTGTTGTCTTCGTTTAAACGTTTGTCACTTGTAAAGCGCGAAGTCATAGTCTTTATCGACATCTCAACAGAAGTGGTTAGGCAGCTATGAAGATTCCAGAATCTCGCCCAACACAGGCAAAAGCAGAAACTCAGCAATAATGCGAAGCGGGCCCCCGTGCTGTTAAATAAGGTAGTGTACACAAGGGTTAGGATTAGGTTGCACACAAAAAAGCAGATCCTGAATACATCCCTTCGTCCAGTTCTGATTTACCCCTATAAAATGTAGCTCCTACAAACAGCGGATATCCCAAAAAAAGTTCGCTAAGTAGGGATGGTTAGTGGTGAAAACCGGAAGCACTATCAAGACCAATCACACCTTTCACAACTGTATCTGAACATTTGTTGGGATGTAAAAACTTATATCAACTAGCCAGACGGGATTTATTTTTCGAGTTTCGCGGTGACATTTTACTTATTGGCGGAATTCGTGAGAAATAACCACTATCAATGTTAGTCACGACAATGTGCGGAGTTTCTCGAACGTGCATTCAAAATACAAAAAATCGGACCATCCTGTAAAGCTCTTCGGGGGCTTTCGAAAACAGTTTTGACCATCATATTAGGTCCTCGTAATTGGCGTTTTTTATTAGCTTAAGTTAGGTAACTGCCAACAATATCCGACAAAAGGTCTCTGACGACAGTGAGCCTAAGACAGATAAACAGGAACACAACAACGCAGCTTGACAAACACGTTCTCCATGTACAGTTTATCATACTGGTTTGGATCTTCTGTCGAAATCAGACTCCGCTACCGCAGTTCAACGGCGAGCAACATTTATGAGGACGTCTGTATGCTTCCACATCCCATATCCCCACAAAACAGATTATGAAAACAGTATAAGTGACAAAAAAATTTTCCCCACAAGTTGATTCATCAGCAGGCAACCCACGACCATAGTTGCCCTAAGCCTTTATCACATAAAGTTCAGAAATTCTTCCTAAAGCTGTCCGCCGAACGTCCAGACATCAGACTGATTCACGACAAGCAGAGATGATAGCAAAAATGGCATTAGCACAAGTGGAATATAGAATGGTTCATTCTGAGGTGGGGAAAAGCAGGAGAATAGGCATGCATGGACAACAATTACTTAAAAATTCGAGTAACAAAATCTTCCGGTAACGAAAATATGAAAAACCTCGAGTAAAAGAATCGAGGAGTGGACCGGAAAAAAACTTACATCAATGCCAGACAACACTAATCGGTGAAAAAGTTGCACAATGCTGGTACGTGATCACAGTATTCTTACCTATGGTGTGGAATGTACGGGAAAGAACGGTGAGCGAAGGATTCTTCCTGATTGCCCAGACAAGAGAGGTACTCCATCTTTTGTGTTTGACCCAAACGCCTAACCACCACAGCAGTATGTAGGGAGTTTTATTCTGGCACCCTGTCAGCACTCTTAGCCCAAAAGTCTGGATCATGCAGCATTGGTAAACAGTGCTATATTTTTGGGGACAGTACTAAGCCAACAACTAGCATCCCACCTGCCCGAAGATGCACCGATTCAGGCATAAAAGCGTAACCTCTGGTGATAGTGCGTTCAGCGAGAGCGTTACGCGCAACACGAGCACGCCAATTTTGCGTTTTTACC